CTGTGCTTTGAGGAGTCCTATTTCCCACACTCTTATCTGGATTGAGATGTAAAAATTCATCTAAATTAGAAAGAGTGGGGGAAAAAAATCTAGTCATGCCTGTCTAGGGAACATGTCTGGGGCCGGCCCGGTGGCGCACTGGATAGTGCGCTGCTTGGGAAGCGCGGCGGCACTCCCACCCGAGGGTTCGGACTAAATTAGAAAGAGTGGGGGAAAAAAACCTAGTCATGCCTGTCTAGGGAACATGTCTGGGGCCGGCCCGGTGGCGCACTGGATAGTGCGCCGCTTGGGAAGCGCGGCGGCACTCCCACCCGAGGGTTCGGATCCCACATACAGACCGGTTCCCGCTCACTGGCTGAGCGAGGCGCGGGAGCAGCGCCGAGGGTTGCAATCCCGTTGCCGGTCCCCGGTCCGGTACGGGGGCAACACTGAGGGTTGCAATCCGTTGCCGGACACGGAACAAGACAAAAAAAGACAAAAAAAAAAACATGTCTGGCTAAAATTAATTCAACATACCAGATAAAAATCAGTAAAAAGGAAAAAAGCTGAGAAAATATTCTTTGAAATTAAAAGCCATATGATCCATTGAGGAGTCAAAGAAAAAACTGACCTGCAAACCATGAAATACATTGGAAGAAACAATAGTGAAAATACTTCAGATCTAAACCTGTGGAATGAGGCTGCCTCAGTGCCCAGAGATATCATCTTTAAAATAGTGCCAAAAAAAGAAAAAGTTATTAACCTCTATACACATCTATAAAATAAATTTCTAGTTTGAATAAACTTGAAGTTTTAAATAAAAATGATCACAAAAAGGGAAGAACAAAACTCCATTAATAACCTACAAACCAAGACTTGATAAGTGAGGCCAAAATGGTGGCCAGAGAGAGACTTCTAGCCTGAAAGTAATCTATGACTTATTAAGGCAGAAAACTAAGGAGCTAGCAGTCACCCTTCAGGTTAGAAAACCAATAGAACAATAGGAAATGAGAGAAGAAAGAAAAAAAGCATGTGGAGTTTTGTGCTTAAAGTCACTCTATAAAGGGCCGGCGCGGTGGAGCACTCTAGAGTGTGGCACTTGGGAGCGCGGTGGCGCTTCCGCCAAGGGTTCGGATCCCATATAAAGACCAGTCCGCTCACTGGTTGAGCGCGGTGCGGGCGCGACACCGAGGGTTGCGATCCCGTTGCAGGTCGCGGTATGGGCGCGACACTCAGTGTTGCGATCCAGTTACCGGTCACGAAAAAAGACAAAAAGGAAAAAAAAAAAAGTCACTCTATAAAGAGACAGTCCCTGGGGAAGTGGGTACACAAGGATCCTGCTACGTGTAGAAGGAAGAAGGTGATAGACACCCCCAGAGAGTATATTCGGGGTTGACAGTGGATTAGAAACATAAGAGAGAGTCAACTGTCCTGTGCCCAGATGGAGGGAAGCATGGATGACATCAGGTGATAAGCACAAGTGGATATATGGGGAGTTAATAAACACAGGAAACGGCCCCTTGAGAGCAAGATGAAAATGAGTACAATCCTGCCCTCAGAAAGCCATGTGGGAACTCCAGGGTTCAGGGCAAGACGTGGGTCAGTCAAGAGACAGCCACCCACACCCCTGCTTATCACCCACAGCCACAGTGGTGCCAACACCTGCTGCTCCAGCCTGAGCTGGCCAGAGAGGACAGTTAGAGCAGAGGAGGTGAGGGAGGATCAGAAGCTGGGCCTCCCAGAAGCCCCCGAAACCCGCTGGTCCCACACTGAAGCCATCATGGGAGGAAGCTCCAAAATGAGAGAAAATACACAGAGGAAACATAATATTTGTGTATTTTTCTTTTCTTTCTTTCTTTCTTTTTTTGTGGCTGGCCAGTATGGGGATCTGAATCCTTGACCTTGGTGTTACAATGCTATTGTATGTATGTATGTATGTATTTTATCTATCTATCTATCTATCTATCTATCTGTCTGTCTGTCTGTCTGTCTGTCTGTCTGTCTGTCTAAAACATGACCCGTGAGGGGATCTTAGCCCTGGACTTGGTGTTGTCAGCACCACACTCTCCCAAGTGATCTGTCTGTCTGTCTGTCTGTCTGTCTGTCTAAAAGATGACCCGTGAGGGGATCTTAGCCCTGGACTTGGTGTTGTCAGCACCACACTCTCCCAAGTGAGCTAACCGGCCATCCCTATATAGGGACCTGAACCCGTGGCCTTGGTGTTATCAGCACCACACCCTCCCAAGAGAGCCACGGGCCAGACCTGCTATTTGTGTTTTATTAAAATAAAAGATTTAATATGTGTTCAGGTAGAGACAGGTTCAATGACAAAAAGTAAGGTAGGGAAAAGAGCTAGACATCACAGATATGAAATGATGGACAAATAAATGACATGAATGGGGAATTTGCCCACAATGCAGACTTTATACATTCACATAAATATTAATATACATGCATCACCCAATAGAGATGTTTGCACAAACTACATTTACATTGTGAAGTCAACAAAATGAAGTAAAAATAAAGCAGTTATGGAGAGGGCCAGTCTCTCTGTTTAGGGGGAAGCACTTCAGAACATAAGCACAACTTCTCCCCTTCCTTCTGAACACCGATAGCCTGCAGTAGTAGATGGCAAATTACAGCCCAGGCCGCCCCTCCCAGAGTCCACAAACATGGACATACATACCACAGAACTCATCAGATAACAAGGCCAGGTACTGCAGCGGCTCTGAAAGATGGACTTCAAGTAGGAGTGACTAGAAAACTCCAGGAAGGGGCAATGGAAATTGGGCATTCCAAGAGGATCCTTGCAAGGGCCAAGCAGTGAGCAGACACATGTGTCAGTTATTAGGTTAGCATGAACTCAAATCTCATCTAATCCAGTGCATCTCAAATTTTGATGTGTGTCAAACCCATCTGGAGGGCTTGTTAAATACAGATTTCTGGGTCTCACTCCCAGAGTTTCTGATTCAGTAGTCTGGGGTGGGACCTGAGAATCTGCATTTCTAACATATTTTCAGGTAATACTGATGCTGCTGGTCCAAGGACCACATGATGATCTAATCTAACTCCAGGTTAGGATGAGGTACTAAAGAGCAAAGCAGCAGCACAAGAAGGGACTAGAAGCCTGTAGGGACTGTAAACTCCTCAAACATCAAAATCTTCAAGACAGCATCATGTCTACAAGTACAAGGTACCACTCAGGGAGTCTTTCGTCATGTAGAGTGATGGGCCCGAGGAATGTCCCCATGTAAACCATCTGGAAAACCTGTGACCCTGGTGCTCTGGAACCCCTATTTTCCACCTTCCTTCATTGGAACATTGTTTCCTCATAATTCTCCATGAAAGCACAGGAAAGAACACCATCACTACACCCATTTTTATGGATCTTTTCTGGATAAAAATAACTATCATTCAAATAGATATTAGCAAAAATAGATTTTAATTTTTAGTGTAAAAGAACACAAAACCTGATATCAGTTTAATGGAAACTCTAAAATACACAGAAAATAAATAAAAATAATTATTAAAAATGTTCAATGAAACAAAGCAATACTTAGAGTAAGACCTTATATCCTAAAATATATATACCTAAATGTTATTTAAAAAATAAGACAGAAACATAAGGGGCTCTATACACACCTCTAAAAATATGCTTTCTAGTATAAAATTAATTTGGAAATATAAGGGTACATAAAAAAATAGGAAAAGTGTCTAAGTCACTAATGTCTCAAAGAATATAATCATTATTTTATTGCAAATAAATGTCCAACCAAAACAGAAATGCATGTCATATTTTATGGGAAAAGGCTGAAACAGGAGTTAGAGAAAAATTGCCACCCTTAAAGAAATTTAAGACAGAAGAAATCAGGCCAGAATGTTAAGGAATTGGAAATGATTCTCCATGTTAAAAAAGGACATGAGACAGAAAGAGAGGAAAGGGAGGCAACAGTCACAGACCAGGGGTGCGGGGATCGATGAGAATAAAGGAGGCAGGAAGAGGAGTGGAATGTGTACCTAAAATGTACTGTCCAGTAAGGTAGCCACTCACCACATGTGGCTACTGAGCACTTGAAATATGGCTAATCCAAATGGAGAAATGCTGTAAGTGTAAAATATGCCCCAAATTCTGAAGACTCAGATGAAAGAAAGAATGCACACTATCTAATCAATAAGTTTTCTCTGATAAGATGAAGGTCCAAATGGAGAAATGCTGTAAGTGTAAAATATGCCCCAAATTCTGACGACTCAGATGAAAGAAAGAATGCACACTATCTAATCAATAAGTTTTCTCTGATAAGATGAAGCAATATTTTGGATAACGCTAACATTGTGAGTTAAATAAAATATATCATTAAAATTAATTTTACCTGTTTCTTTTTTAAAAGAGTCACAGACCAATTTCTAAACTACCATTTGATCAAAGACAAATGAAAAAGCCCTGCCCTGCTCTGACCAATAAACTAGGGCAAACTGCATTTCAAATTACAGGAGGGGGCCTGATCCTATGAAAATAGGAGACTTTTTTTTAAAAGTGGGGAAGATAGTGTCATTACCACTATTAAAAGAATCAAAACCAGAATTATTACTACTACTATTAAGTAAACCAGGAACTTATTTCCTTTAAAAGAAAAAATTCCAAAGTAATTTGCTGTGCCTTTCACAGAATTTCTCAAAATACATAGTATTTTATAAAACCTGAGAAGCTGCTGTTGTTGTTAGGACAAAACTACAAAACGGTTTAATTAGCAATAACAACAGCATCCCCCCCCCCCCCCAGCCACTGTTAACTGGCTGTCCTTGTTACAGACATTCCGCTTAATAACATTACTGGCAAAGAATGGGATTTTTAAAAGGTTGGGACGCTATATTATTATAAATACAATCTAAACCAGGAATTTATTTTTATTTAATAAACACTGAACCCGCCGGTCACCCCCTCTCTCAGGGCGTTCTGCAAAATACCTGCTAAAAAAGTAAAAGGGTGCTTTACCCGGGTGGGGTGAAAAATCCGTTTTTACCTTTAATCTCGAGACCTTAGGCATCGAGGTCGGGTAACTACGTGGATCAGCGCCAGCCCGGGCGCCCACTAAGTTCGGCGGGCAGGGCATAGGCCGGGCCGCAGCCCGAAGGTCACCATTCGGGTTCCGAGCCCAAGTCCCAGATGCCGCTGTGGCGAGGGCCGATTGCCCAGTCGCGCAAGCTGAAGCCGAGGGCCCCCTGCCTCGCGGGCCCCAAATGTCCCGTGTCCAGCGGCCTGTTGCGGAAATAATCCAAAGCTGAGAGCCCACGCTTAGTTCGCCCGGACTCCACCTGAGGACTCGCGCCCGCCGATGGCTTCGCGTGAGGGCGGACTTCCGGCAACGGTGGCCGAGGAGGAACTTGATCAGCTGCTGAAGTCCGTTTCTAGGCAACGTAGAGGAAGACGGGGAAATCGGCTTCTTCTCAGACAGACGGAGCTCTTAGCCAATGGATGTGCAAGAGAGGGGAGGTTCGTTTCACATTGGCCAATAAGAAGCACTTGCGGCCGAGCGGCCTACCCGGTGCGGTGCCCGACTTTGCGAACGCTCTTCTCTCAGCTGGCGGTACGTCCTTGGAGATTTGCACCGGGCTCGCGAGACCTTTCGGTTGGGTCCACGCGCCACGACCCCGTGAACACTGAGGCCCGACCTTGCACACTACCAGTCTTGTTATCAGTGGGCTAATAAATCATAAATAATAAAATAAAGGAATGGACAGGGGAGACATTAATGCATGAAATCAAACGCTTTTGGTGACGAGCGTCTTCTTTGCAAAACTGAACCCAAGGGCAATTTGCACGTTTCTGACCAGTAATACCAGAGGACAGATCGGGGAGGAAGCACGAACTTGCACTTAATGGGATTGGCTTGTCAGTAAAGCCCCAGTATCGCAGGCATTTCCAGTGTTCCGCCACCTACCTCAGTTCCGATCGCAGGGCTGCGCTCGTACGCAGTCTCGACAGGCCGGTTTAATTTCGGCAAACTCCTCTTTATGTGGGTATCTGAGACTCTCTTTGGAGAGAATATTTTTAAATTTCCATTTCAGAGGTTTCTATGGCTAGGATCGCCTTGCCTGCCAGCCGCCAAAACAAAGGGGGAGGGGGGGCGGTGTTATGGCGCTTTTGAACTTACATTCTCTGCCTCCTCGGGGACCTGCGTTCCCCTCAACTAGAATCTCCACTCAGAGTCCAGAAGCCCATACCTACCCCCCGTGACTGTTCTCCATACACAGGGAGAATCTGCAGAAAATACCCATGAAAAGCCTTGCCATTCTTTGCTATAAAATCCCATATTAAAACCGTTGAAAACTGAGAATTTTGACCCACATAGGTTTTGCCACTATTTGAAATCAATCATTTCTGTCTCTTCTATAATTATTAGGTGTAGTTTCAATATCAACCGATAATCCCCCTTAGGTTTATCCTTATGTACGGTGCTCCCTCTGCATATGTAAGATCAAATGAACCTTGAAAATATTATGCTAAGTGAAAGAAGCCAGTCACAAAAGACCACTTATTATGTGATTCTGTTACCAAATCACGCTCTTGGGTCTTAATGTCATACAAGTGAACAAAGAACCCACCAGAATCTAAGGCAAGCAATGCTTTATTAAAAGGAGATAGATTTATGCATAAGGGAGCCAGCAACAGAGAAGCTGTCTCTGGTCATAGAGCCAGTTGGTAAGCTAGCCGCAAATGGGCCCATTCATTGAGCTCAGAAAGAAGTTAAACAAACAGAACAAAAGGTTCCTAACACATTACAAACCAAAATTTCAAATCAAAGCAAATCTGACAATGTTTTTCTTTGGAGTTAAAGAATTTTGTGGTGGGCCAAAGAAATTTTAATTGTTTTAAACCTATTGCTTTTAAAAAATTTTTGTCACAGGAGTTTTTAAGGCTAGGTGTTATTTTAATCTTTTGATAGGTATCTATAAGACAGCTGTTTAAGAAAAGATTTCTGAAAAAAATTTTTTAACATAATTAATTCAAAGGCCGTTGATAATTTAGAATCCCCATCTGTGTACCAATTTCCAATAGCAACTCAATTCAATAAGCCTCTTGAGGGAAGGAGGCATTCCAGGAAAGGGTACAGAAGAGGCAGCCCCCATGATCCCCCAAAATTCACTTACAGAGACAGGCAAAAATAGCAAAAAGAGTCATGTTGCCACAGATGAGTAAGCACACAATGTCTTCGGTCCCCCACAAAAAGTGAGGTGCCTCTAGTCACAGAACCACTAATCTGTGACCCCAGATGTTGCTTTGCCTCCCACAAATTTGTCACCGCTCTTCCCCTGGGTGATGGCGCTGCAAAGAATTACTCAAAGCCCATCTCTTCTGAACAGTGAGAGACCCCAAAGGGGTTAATTTCCCAGAACCCTCAAGTGCAAGGCATTCCTTCCTTTGGGAAATTAACCATGAACTGGGGTTCTTGCCCTGCATTTATTCTCTAGACCAGGAAGTTACAGGAAAAGAACATAGGTGGGATTTTTGCTAAGTATAGTTTAACAAGTTTAACAATAGAGGCTGGTAACATCAGTAAAACAAGAGAAGTGACATTCCATAATGCAATTTGCAAGAGGTTAAGTCAATCCACCAACAAGAGATTGATCTTAGCAAACGTTCTCTTTCCCTACATCAGCTTTCCCAGCATTTTTACATGTCAACCAAGTAACTTGTCTGTCCTTGAGTCAGCAACCTTGCTGTGTTACAATTCTTTATCTTACAATAGAGACTAGCCTGGGGAAAGTTCCCTGTCTTGCAAGGTTAACTTTTCTATATGTACTTTTAAGAAGTTAGGCTATACCTGAAACTACAAGAAACTAGGCCCTGTGAAATATATTTGCTTTATAGTATACTCCACACCCAGAGAGTCAATACTGCAAAGGGAATTTCCCAGCACAAACAAGGCAACAAGGTTGAGACACAAAAGCCCTTATGTATTGGGCCTCTTATGACAAACTGCCTGTGAGCTTGATCTGTTCAGAACAAAGTGTGTGCTCGGGTTTCCTAATTAAATTAAACTGGCCACCAGACATGAGCCAGCACCCATATCCCTCTGATGGTGGAGGCCAAGAGAGAATGCTCTCGCTTGGTCACAAACCAAACTCCAGGACACAAAAACAAGATGAGAGAGGAAAATTATTTTTTGTTTGTTTTTGTTTGCTTTCTTGTTTTTAACTCAAACAACAGGCTTATGGGGTTCCAGGCCTGTGTTCTACCCTATGGTACCCCTCTTTATAACAAAACAACACAGAAAGACAAAGACAAAGGAAAAATAAAAGACTATTTCTGGGAGGAAGAGGATCAGGCAATATGAATATTCATACCAAATGTACACCAGAGTCACTACACTGCAGACTAATCATACAAATCCTTTTCATTCTACTAATCAAAATTTTGGAAAAAGAGACAAACAATAAATGATTTTTTACTGTCTGCTCAACTGGATTCCATAGAGAGACCAGGAGTCTGACAGGTAAGAAAGGCTTGCCATTTTGCCAGCTTTCAAGCTCTGGTCTCCCTCTGCTATGGCATCCAGAAAAGCCAGGTGGCTTCAGTATCCTGCTCATGGTGCCATAACCGTAGGAGCCAAGGGAGGACATCCCCTTCAACCCCCTGGAGGTTCTCTGAAAAGCCATCCGATAAACACAGGTTAATATAAAGAAAAGGCATAACAATTTTATTATATCATAGTTTTACATGACAGGGGAGTCTTCAGAATGAAGGCACAAAGATACATGGAAAATTGTACATATTTATGCTTAGGTTCTATGAAGCAGGCACAGCCATGTAGAAATGTGATTGAACAAGAAAGGTGTGCTCTAAAGCTAATAGACTCAGTGGGGAAACCCAGCAAGGCCTCTCTGTTCCGATTCTTCTTGGCCTCTCTGTGTAGCATTCATTCTACAGGGATATGAGGCAGGATCCTTTATGGCATAGGGTCTTATGACCTACAATCAGACAAGGTAGGTTAGAGAATTTCTTTATGTCCTGCTCCAAGACAGAAAGGCTGGGGGAAAATTAGAGAATATCATGACCTACCTTGGAGAAGAGGGATTCTAGTTTTTGTGGCTTGCCTCGGGAGAATAAGGCTGAGAGACAAAAGGGCAGGAGAAGATCAGAAAAAAACTTTGCTTTTGAGGCCTTCACTTTGGGTTATTGCTTTCTGAGCCCCAACACAATGTTGCAAAGAAACACCAATTTCTTTCATTTTAGTTCATCCAATTTAAAGTCATTCCAGTTACCTAAAATACACCCAAAGGGGAGATTCTTTTGGATCTCCAGTGGCATTTCCCATCTTGTTCCTGATGATATATTTGGTGTCCTACAATCAAGAAGTCCAGGGTGGGATGGAGTCCATATGACCAAGCATCAGTATAGTTATAAGACCTCTTTTTGTCCCAGTTAGATTGGGCATAGAGGGTCACAAGGAGATGTCAAGCAATTAAAGACTGAAGGGAGGGAACCTTCTTAGGTGGGTCCTCACTAAGTCCAAGTTATATTTACTTCCACTCAAACTCCCTCTCTACCTTAAAGCACTCAATTAAATGTCTAACCAAGGGCCGGCCTGTGGCTCACTCGGGAGAGTGCAGTGCTGATAACACCAAGGCTCCGGGTTCGGATCCCATATAGGGATGGCCGGTTTGCTCCCTGGCTGAGCATGGTGCTGACAATACCAAGCCAAGGGTTAAGATCCCCTTACCGGTCATCTTTTAAGAAAAAAAAAAAAAAAATGTCTAACCAAGCAAAGAGGAAAAAGGAACGGTTGGGTCTGCTCGATCCTAGTCCCAAGGGGCAGAGCCAACCTCTTCCTTGCACAAATAACAAGCAGTAGATTCATGTTCACGCTTGTTCTTATTCCACCAACACAGTAATTGACAAAAATCATTCTCACTGGAGGAAAATGAAGAACACATATTAAGGATGGAGGCACTCTTGCTCTCCAGGACTTAGACTGTGTCAGCAGAACTGCAAAAAGACTGGGTCAGCAAGAATTCGCAAGGCTTAACCACAAATCACAGACTTCCTATTGAGTTGCCTAGGAGATAGGTAGGTATGGGAGGGGCTCACAGCTGGGTAAAACATATATAATACATGCCTGCAGACAATAAAGTTGCTTAGTGCATGCACTAAGTCCCAGAACTTTGTGTCTGGTTTCTGGTTGCCCACCTCCCTAGGCGGCAGCCCCTAGCTCAAGGTGTGCCCTGAGCAACTCACCTCACTGCACTCTCTTGGCAGGGCTACATGAGCCCCTGCTCCCTGGGGGACTCCTGGCAGAGGCTATGTGTAGTCCTG